TTGGGGTGAACAACGTCATAAATAGCTTTTCCAGATCAAACCTTCTGTTGATCTTTGGCTGTCTTGCTTCCGTAAGGATCGGAAGGAGGAAGTTGTCTTGGCAAGGCTATGCATTGGCCACAGTTTTTAACCCATCATTTTCTTTTATCCGGTATTGATCCACCAATGTGTAGCCATTGTGACACTCAAGTCATGATAGCCCACATTTTACTGTTGTGCCGTCGTTACGACCGTGAGTGGTGGCATCATTTTAGTCACACATTTTCTAAGAATTAACCCCTGACGTTAGACAGTGTCATTGATAATGGTGACACTGTCCGACTAGATTGTATTTTTAATTTTTTATGCACTACAGGTCTTTTTGATTGTATATAAATCTTTTATCGACATATTTTGGTTTTAACTCGCTCTATTTTTACATTTTATTCTAATTTACTGTCACTGTTTGCTTGTTGTTTTGTGCAGATAGCCTTGTTGCTTTGCGCCATAAAGCACCAAACAAACAAACAACCCTGGTAGTATGGAATAAAATTTGTGGTTATAATGGAGTATCCTGCAAACTTAAACATTAATATGATAGTACCTATAACTCTAAAATTGAAAGCATGATGTTACATGGCTACCATGGAGCATAAAGTAAAAAAAAAAATACTGATAAAGTGGTCATTATAAATAATTTTGTTTTGAATGAGAATTTTATAAGCGTCTATTCAAAAGTGAACTTATACTTAAGTTTTAAACACTGAAACAATGTGTGTTGCTTGTATATCATATTGTTACGTCTCCGTTTGTTAATTGATTTTTCCGTAACTTCGTTCCAACGAAACTTTAACAACACAAGTCTTTACTTAATAAAACTGGTTTATTCTTTCCGAATATAACTCTGCGATACACTTAATCTCAATACTCGCGCTAAAACAACACTATAACGAATGAACGTTAACTTCAACAATACCCTGTGACTGCAGTTCAATTACTCACTATCTATCCACACATTACATTCCCCTCTTTTATATACCAGCGTACCCTATTTCTAGTAAGAACTTGAACATTCGCCAAAGTACATGATAGTTCTAGAAACGTTGCGTCACGGTGGTCATGTGACTCGCTGACGCAACAATATCTATTGCATGACAAGTACACATATACTCTAGAATACTCAAATATAAGTATTTCTCACCATTATAGTCATCACAAGACTATATATTCAGTAATGCTTTTGTTTATCTAGCAGTATGATTATAGCAGGAAATTATCTCATTTGTAGTTGAACCTTCACTTATTATGAGTACCTTACTTTTCACACACAGTTGGTTTATAATTTGTTTGCATGTGGCAGTAGATGTATATGTATTACATCATTTGCCATATAAAATAAAAATTATTCTATTTATTCATAAACACCATATATGTAAATTTATTCTCAAACATATGTTTTCTGTTTTTCCAACATATATATGCTTACTACAAATACAAGATAATACATAAATAACATCATGTGAATTACAACTAAATCTAGAGTTCATAAAAAATATTTCTTCCCAGTAGGGACTGTAATATATTTATTGTATGTAATATAACCCTTCCCACAAATATAACAATTTTGTTTATTGCAGGGAAAAATATTCATCAGATTTCTTTACATATTTCTCTGATTTAAGATAGAATTAAAACCTTACTTTAGGAAGTGTCATTATCCAGAAAATGTAATAGAGAGAGAGGTTGTAAGTTAGCTAAGATTAAAAAGGAAACTAACAATAATCATAAATATAATATAAAATAAATACAAATTACTTCATTCATAATAATGCATTACCCTGGAGTTAAAATGAATACTAATTATATCCAAAAAGAACTGTAAAGAATTTCAGATAAAATTCTAAAAGCTTAGTTTGAAAATAAGCAATCCTTTTATCACAAAGACAACCCAAAAGTTTATATGCTATTTTAAATCAGAGAAATAAAATGAAGATATCTGATTTCAGAAACTGAAGAGTATCCTGGAAAACTGATACTTATGCTTTTATGTATGTGTGGTTTTATTTCTTTTAAATTAACAGTAATAAAGAGTTTTTAAAGATATTTTTATATTGTTTCCTTTATATATATATTTTATTATTATGTTCAGCAGTTAAATCTACTATGTCCATTTTAATTTATGAAAAAACAACTTGAAATAATCTGAACATTCGTACAGTTTTCCATGATGTGATAAAAATGGTAATTTTAAAAATTATAAATTATTAGGCAGTTGTACAAAGGCTGTTAATGTGTTCAGTTGCAACCAAGTTTATATAGATAATGCATTTAGAATAAGCAGTAAGCAGATCTAGCATTTTGGAAAGGGTGGTGTGGTCATCTGGATGGGTGTCATATAATTTCAGCATACATAATTTATATGATCCAGCTAAATGATACATCAGACTCAAATATAATATCATAAATTATTGGCCTGTAGCCAGGAAAGGCACAAAATAAAATCTTTTATTGAAATTATTTATTTTTAAAAGTGGTGCACTTCAGAGCACAATGGCGAAAAATTATGAAAAAGGGGTGGGCTGCACCCCTCTGAATCTGCTAGGGAGCAGTACCTTATAAGCATATATGGACTTTAAATATAAATTTGTCAGTTATTCCATTATGGTTTGTTCTTTTCAATATTTTTGCTTTTGAACTTGTTTCTCTTGATGCTTTACCTGAGTCTCCCGATGGGACAGCAGTAAGTCAATGGATTTACATCACTAAAATCAGGGGTTCAATTCCCCTTGGTGGACACAGCAGATAGCCTGATGTGGCTTTGCTATAAGAAAAACAAGCACACATGCACACAAGCTTTACCCAAATTTACTTCAGGTTTTGGCTTTTTGATGGTGGTTCTTTTAGAGTTAGTCTATTTGAAGTTAATTCTCATTGAATAATATTTTATTAAATGTTATTCATTTAGAAGCAAATACTTTCACATTCTTACTTCATTCTATAGTGTTTCTTCTCAATTTTCCATTCAATGTTATTCATTTTTTGGAAAAGTTCCTGTTGATTTTATTCGTGTTTTAATATTTTTGATCGATTCTCTTTCTATCCACATCCTTTTAGTACAAAAAACAAGCATGTTGATCATATATGAGAACAGAGATGCAGGAAACCTCTTTTCCTTTCTATTAATGGGACTAGGCAAGCAATGTATCATTCTGGGAAATCATTATATATATATATATATGTACAGCTTGGGATTAAACATATTTTCAAGCAAAATTAGTTCTTTGGCAGGTTTGCCTCTCCCTCAGTGAGTGCAGTTGGCTTAGAACTTGTTATTACAGTTCAGACACTGCAACTGAAAATTTAGCACATTTGGAAAGGATATGTAATACCCCTTTTCACTGCAAAATTTTCTTATAGACAAATCATAAAGATGTGTGAAATATCAGGGATTTAGAATTTCCAAGACATCAAATGTGGATATCCCTTGTACTTAATGGCATAGGAAAACAAAGGAATATGGATCAACTTGGGAAATGAAGAAAGAGTCCTTAAACATGTTATACACTAACTGTGGTAAGCAAAATCTATTGTCTTGTAGTAGGTGAGAATCCACTTACACAATAAAGATCAGTGACAAAAGCTGTCCTTGTACCCCAAGCAAAAGTTTACACAGCATAATAAAGAAAGGTCTCTGTCTGGGAATGAGTTCAACAGGTTATGGGTTCACCAAAACAAGGGTCTCAGTCATACCACCCATTCAACCAGTGGAAAATGAAATGGGTATTCATGCTATTACATATGAAGACATACTAGTTAAGTCACCTGATGTAGTACTTTTGAATTTTTGTGCGATATCTAACTGTTAAAATGGGTGCTGGAAAACTGACTTTCTCATACATTTTATGATTTATGAAAAGTTTACAGGTAGGAGCAGTGTGCTTTGGATATGATAGCCTTATGGCAGAGACTTTTGCAATGGAAACAATACTGCAAGGCTATTGTTAACATGCATGGTTATGAGATTGAGCATTACTGGATGTGACAACATGGATTGTAATGTGAACCTCTAAAATTGTTCTAATATAACACACTTAACTGTATTCTAATTAAAATGGAATAAGTAGCATACACATTTATGGCCTTCTTATATTATTGTTAAGTGAAAAAAGTATATCTGTTCTCAAGTGAAACTACTTTTTTCAGTCGATCATTTTTGTTGTCGATCATGGCTTATCTTTACACTCTGCAACCAAATTAACCAAAACTCTATTTACAGTGGTCTTGGGATTAACTTGTCGGCTGCAAGTGTGTCTTAAAATACTAAGTGTAAGTCTGTGTTTTATTGGTTAGTCACTAGTTTATAACTCATGTACAAAATAATTAAAGAATCTTTGTAATCTAAGTGATTTTGGTGCCCTTTTATCAGAGAGGAAAATTTTAAACTTATGATCTTCAATAACATCATGTTGTTATAATTGTTTTCTTTGACATCGAGGAAATGTGCATGTTGTATTTTGATGGGATGAAACTACATGTACTATGTTATGGATATATCATGATGTGTTTTTTTTCATCTCAGATAAATAGATAATCAGGAATTCAGTATATATGCTTTTTAAGTTAATATTTTTTTTCACTTGTGATGCTGGCCATGTCTGATCTTTCTTCTTAGTATTCTACATATTTGAGATTTGATGTTTTAAAATTATGGAATGATTTCAGAATAAAGTATGTGTACTATTGAAATACCTTTTGTTTTAACTTCCTGTTTAAAAAAAAAAGGTTGTTCTCTGTTGATTTTTAGGAACCTTATAAATGTGTGTGTATGTAGGGGGGGGTCTTCAAAGTTCATAGTTACAAATGGAGTTTCAGGGTGAGAACACCCAATCTAGATGAAAATAACCTAAGCAAACATAGAATCTTGTCTGGATGAATCAGTATTGTAAGTCATTTATTTTAGTTTTCTGTAACTGAGAAGTAGATTATGTAAACTGAATGATCAACTCTTTTATCTTTTACAGTGAGAGTGCTGAAGATGGACAGAAGAATGTTGAAGATGTTTTGTTTGACATGTTTCAAGATATCAATGAGAAGGTTCCTGTGGGCAGATTTTTGGCTGTAAGAATGGTTCACTTAGTTGATATGTATAAATATGTTTATTGATATTCATAATATAGCCTTCAAAAGCTTGAAGAAGTATTTTGCAAACTCATCAAGTAGCTACATTGCGATGGTGTGAACTCTGTTAAATTTTAGTTTTTTCATTTGTTATATTACTATGCTAAGTTTCATAATATATTAATGTCTGATTTTGTTCATAACATAAGATTTCATGCATTTTGTCTGATTGACAACAGATGAGTTTCTTTCAACATTCAGAATCTTTACTACTTCAAATTATTCAATATTCTAGAGGGTTTTGCAAAGTTTACACTGGAGTTTTAAAACAGGCATATGCTATTTACAGTTGTTCTTTATGTTTAATTGTTAACCTTATCTCTGCATTGTATTGTTTTAGCTATGTTTCTTTTATATTTTCTATGTAAATTCAAACAATATTTGTTTGATAATATATTATAATATAAAATAAAAATGATTTTGATCAGCATTTATTTTCAAAACACAGTTATTTGAGGTATTTTCATCTGTTGAATGATTTCAAAAACATAAAATTATAAATAGTCAAAGTTTCAGAAGTTAATATTCCTCAATTAAATTTCCTTCAGCATATATCTTTTTGTCCAAAAAAAAGCATATACTAAAAAGATTTTAATGTAAAGATAATACATTTTTACTGTAAAGTATTTGTTGATTTGAAGATGAGAGTCATAAATTATGTCATTGTTTAACACAGAGTTAAATTTCAATCTCTTTGGTTGATTATTTGGAATTTCAAGAGATTTTGAGTTTTTAAAGTGAGACAAATTTATGTTGTCTTTGTTATGTTTGGTAAATTCTCTGTAGTGCTTGATTGGAATTATTGTTAACAAGATTTATTTGTGCTGAAGTGAAATTTTAAATCTTACATGACATTGACATAACAGTGTGATAAAATTAAGCACATGTATATCTATTACAATTTTAGGCAGTGTTAATTAGTCAAGAACAGGAAGCCAGGGTATCTCCTTATGTGAATGATGACAGCTTATGAGTAGTTTTGCCTGTAGGCCACAAGAACATTCTAGGTGCCACATATACTATCTATATGGTAGAAAAACACTGTTTGAACAAACACAACTTTTCTCTTTTTGTTAATCTTTAAAGTATAACAGGTGTGTCATGTATAAAAAGGGCTCTATATATACTTTTTTGGAGGCATGCACAGATAATCTTCCACCTTGGAATATATATCAATTCAAACTGAATAATGAGGCTTGAAGCTAACAAAAATTGCCATGGAATGTTTGCCAGCAAGTTAAGTTTAGTCAGCGGAGGATTTTTGACTCAACAACAAACAAGACAAAAAAAATAATAAGGAATGTTTTGAGTAGCATGCCGTAAGTGTTAATAGAAGTTAAATATGTATATGTATTCATTGCTTATAGGCTTTATCTGCCACTGGATTAAGGAAGGGAGATCCTCGTTTGAAAGAGATGATGACCAAACTACGAGCCACTCACAAACAGTCTCCTGACATTGGTTCACCAGAAGCTCTGTGTTTGGATAAGTCTACATTTAAAAGGTATATGTAGCTTTGTGAATAAATTAGTGATTGAAATTAGTTAATAGGTATATATATCAAAGTTATATAAACAAGAATGTTTTATTTTTTTATGATGGAAAGTTTCCATTTCAAACTTGCTTTACTTGAAGGCTCTCTTGCCTGTTTCACCAGTTATTTGTCATACCACTAAAGAGCAAAAAAAAAAGAGCATGAAAAAAATGAGTTTATCTGTGGTGTGACTTGTGTCACTTCATGTAAGGCTAAACTAATTAATAGGGGAGTCTCAAGAAATATAACTTAAATATTGAATTACTAAATGTAGATGTTTTAGTGGCGTTTTAATAACTTGATTTTACTCATATTTCAAGTATGGTTTTGTTTTCTAAAATTGATTACAAAATTCATTAATATTGTAAAAAATAATTTGTATCAGTCTAATGAATTAATCAGAATTCAACCCTACCTTATGTTATAAAATGGTGAATCAACTTCCAGATCAGATTACATTTGAGCTAACTTTGCTCGTAATATTATGATTATCATAGGAGTTATAAAATAAATATAAATAAAATTTATGAAGGCAGTATCAAAGTAGTAAAATTATATTTAATTTTAGATGTGAAATCGTGATACATGTCAATGTAGATATGCAATTCAACTTACATTATGCATTTACAATATACATAAACATAGGTACTGGGAAATGTTTAAGTCTAGAAAAAATAAAACAGCTCAAACGAGAAATTATGCACCAGCACAGACAACATGTAACAGAGAAACTTCAATTCTAAGAATGATAATAATGTACGTGTTATATAATTAGAAATATGATTAAAATGAAAAGAAAACTCAATATTTTTATTGATATTATATAAAAAACTTGCTTTTTAAGCTACTCATGCAATTATCATAATACAAAGCAGGAAAGTACATAAAAAAAGGAAGATTTTTTTTTTAAATCCAGGAGTGCTTCTTGAAATCCCTACATAACAATAGACTGTACTCAATGTTTGTGTTAAATATTTCTTGTAATTAGAAACATTAATGCTGGTTTTGATACATTTTAATTCTGCATTAGTCTTCTGTAAAAAAATGTCCATAGTCACTCTTCTGGTGTTCGAGCAGACCCCATCATAAAAAATTAATTTTAAAATATTTAAATAATAATAAACTATTATTTTGTAAACAAAAAACACTAGCACTCAAAATCTTTTCCTTTATTAATCAAGAAATAAACATTGAATATTACAACTTGTTTCTTTTTTATCACTTAAACTAAGTGTAACAATTTAACTCAAACTAGGCAAATACTGAACCTCCTGAGAACAACAAACATGTACATGCTTCCATCTGTTGGCATCAATGTTTGCAAAATATTTGGGGTTTGGGAAGACCCGAGAAGACTAATGCAGAGTTAGTAGGTTTGTAAGCATTTTAAGTTTATTCAAATATTAACTGTATGTTATTTTCATACAGTGTTGTACGGGAGAACATTGTTCTTATTAGCCGAGCATTCCGCCACCATTTTGTAATTCCCGACTTCCAGGACTTTGTTAAAAACATTGAAGACTTCTATTGGAAGTGCAAAGTCAACACTAGAGGCAAGGTACTGTGATGTTTGTGCCTTTCTCTTGTGCATAATAGAGTATTGTATGTTTCAAATTAGGGGGAAAACTTGTGCTTAGTGTATGAAACATTTTTTTAGGGTGGTTGTATTTGAATACAGAAAGTTTATAAAATGTAAAGGCAGTACTGTGTATTTAAAGTAATAAAAATGGTTAAGTGACCTGACTAGACTACTTACATATGAGGTTAGGTGTGTAGAAATCTGAATGAATCTGGTGGCTGTGCAGGGTGTCTCAATGACTGCAAGGTTAAGTGGGTTAAACTTATTTCACAACATGTGATATCCAACAGATACTTCTAGTACAAAAGAGATTTTGAGCTGAATGACAAAGTAATCAAGTTATCTAGTAAAACACACCAGATCTAGTGAAGCTTTCAAAACCTTTGTATCAAGGGAATTATTAAACCCAACAGGATGATGGTACCAGTACTCTTAAATGGCTAAAAACGAATGAAGAAACTAGTTTTTCCAATTACTTCAGCTACCCAGTAGTGTAAATTACAATTAAATTGACCACAAAAATAATCAGCTAATCAAAATCAGTGTTTCTAGTTATTTGAATTATTTAGTAATTTAAATATTGCCATTATGATTTTTCATTTAATTCAGGCTTGTTGAGCTTAATCAGTGTAACGGCTTATGAAAATAATCAACTAATAAAAAATTAGGGTTTTCAGGTGTTTGAACTATCCAAGTGATCAAAATATTACCATTTTGTTGGATTGTTATTAAGCATGTAGCCATATCATGGATTAACTGTACTGTGCCCACTGCAAGTATTAAAACCTAATTTTTAGTATTATAAGTTGTTTTTTGTGGTTTTAGCCATCTTGTGCAAAGAATAATAAATTAGTCAAACATAATTGATTAAGGAGTGTGACAATTAGTTGATGAACAATAATTGATGGTAGAATTTTTTTAAATCTCTACAAGTTTTGCCAGTAGATGCATATCTCTTCTAGAAGATGGTCAAACTAAAATGATAAATAGTGATAAAGTTTGTGGCAGCATGAACACAACTCAAAGGTTATCAAGTAGTAGGCCAGCCATGAGATTATAAGAAACAACTGTTTATATTTCACATTCCCATTTGTAATTACCTTAATTTTCATTAGAATAAAATCAAATATGATGGTTGATCTTTAACTAACAATGCATAATAATTTATTTAATAATTACAAACATTCTATTACATTCATTCCACTTGTAAATCTTTACCATGGGAGTCACCATTTTTCTTGTGACTTTTGCTGTTTCATAAGAGATTACAGAATAAAGGCAAAGCCAAAAACAAAAAAGTACCCTAATTCAGCATATTGACATAAATACCATGTTGTAATTTTCATAAAGAAGATAACACTCATTAAAGCCAAGACAAGAAAAATATTAGATGAGATTGACATGTAATATTTTTGAATATCTTTAATATATAGTATAGAGGTATAAAAACAATTATAATGTTTCGTTATTCTGAAGCTTTGCATTTCTTCTTTTTAAGGTTGCATCTTACATTCCACAGTTATCCAAATATAACCCTGACTACTGGGGCGTTTCACTGTGTACAGTAGATGGGCAAAGGTAACCTTTTGTTTAGTGTTATATATCTTTGTTAGATAATTTAATTAGAATAAGTTCTTATTGTACAAATGTAGCAGTAAAAAAAAACACAATTATCAAGAATCCCTAAAGACTGCCTGAACTGGATTTACTTATGTTATGGCACACTGGGGTAGTGTAAAAAAAGACTGGAATTGGTACTACTTGATTGGGAATCAGAGATGTATATATAATTGAAAGAAAAGAGGACAGCTTTTTTTTAGTGATTGAATTTTTTATTATCTCAACATTTTGCCTTGCAGATTTTTCAGGATGTGAACACCCTACCAATCAAAGGACTAAAAAAATAATCATGCTCTTTTAAAAAACAAAACCTTAAGTACTGCACATAAGAGCTTTTTGCCCTCCTCTTTTTTTTGCAATTTGTAAAAATGGTACAAAAGAATTTACATAGAATGATACTAAATTTTAGATTTAACATGATTCTTGTATGACCAAATAAAATATGAGCTCTATATTCAAGCATTTAACCATTGCGAATTGATTAAAAATAATGTTTTGTTGGTTATTGGTTCTCTTGTTTAAATTACTGTTGTTTCTAGTTATTTCAATTATTCTTTGGGACAGTAATAATCCACAAAACTTTAAATTTACAAAAATATATCTTTGATTCCATATAATTTAAGTTTGTTTGTTTTTTTCTGTTTAGAAGAACACAGGCCTGCAAGGGTTTTATTGTCTTGAAAGTTTTACATGTTCTACAGTAATTCCTGTAAGCTGAATCCGAAAATTACATACAGATTTTTCACAAAACTTCATAACACAATACATAAAAGAAAGGCCACAACACATAGTTTTGAGCCTAAAAGATG